CTGGGAGCACTGGGCGGGGCCCGGGGGGGTGGAGCTTCTGCTGGGCCTGGACCCCGCCCACGGTAACTGGGACAGACCGGGATGTACTGGGAGGGGACTGGGATATACTGGGAATGGACTGGGAGGGACTGGGATAGACTGGGAGGGGTCTGGGAATGGACTGGGATTGACTGGTTTATACTGGGAATGGACTGGAAGGGGATTGGGGGGGACTGGGAGGGCACTGGGGGTTACTGGGAGCCTTACTGGGAGCACTGGGAGCTGTTACTGGGAGCCTTACTGGGAGCCTTACTGGGAGCACTGGGAGCTGTTACTGGGAGCACTGGGAGCTGTTACTGGGAGCCTTACTGGGAGCCTTACTGGGAGCTGTTACTGGGAGCACTGGGAGCCTTACTGGGAGCACTGGGAGCTGTTACTGGGAGCCTTACTGGGAGCACTGGTCTCGCGCAGCGCCCATCGATTACATCACCGTCGATGACGTCACCGATTACGTCACCGATTACGTCACCGCCACCCCCGGCGCTGAAACCTGGACCAGTAACACCAGTAACACCAGTAACACCAGTGAGAACTGTGGCACCAAGGGCACCAACGGCACCAGGAACACCAGTAACACCAGTGCCACCAGTAAGAACTGCGGCGCTAAGGACACCAGTGCCACCAGTGAAACCAGTAAGACCAGTGCCACCAAGGACACCAAGGACACCAGTGCCACCAGCATGACCAACTCGGAGGACCCCAGCTGGACCAGTTTGACCAGTAAGAGCAGCGCCACCAGTGCCACCAGTATGACCAGTGACTCCAGTGCCAGCAGTGCCCTGAGTCCCAGTGATGGTTCCGGTGTCCCCAGTGCCACCGGTGCCACCAGTCTGCCCAGTTCCACTGGTGATTCTGGTGTCCCCAGTGCCACCAGTTTGCCCAGTTCCCCCAAGGACTCCGCTGCTCCCCGTGCCTGTGATGCCACCAGTGCCACCGGTGCCACCGGTGCCACCAGTCTGACCAGTGCCACTGGTGATTCCAGTGTCCCCAGTGTCCCCAGTGCCACCAGTCTGACCAGTGCCACTGGTGATTCCAGTGTCCCCAGTGTCCCCAGTGCCACCAGTGCCCTGCTGGTCACCGAGGCCGTGTCCGAGCCAGCCCTGGGTGTCACATCCCCTGTCCCCATGTCCAACTCTGTCCCCGTGTCCCCTGTCCCCGTGTCCCCTGTCCCCCCTGTCCCCGTGGGTGACCCGGCGCTGGGTGTCCCGTTCCGTGTCCGTGTCCCCGCGCGTGTCCCGTGGCCGGGTCCCGAGGCGGCGGCGGCGCGGGCGGCCGGGCTGTGGCCGTGGTGCGGCCCCCGCTGTCCCCCGGGCGCCGTCGTCGGCCCCGTCCAGCTGCTGGATGCGGGGACAAGGGGACAGCGGGGACAGCGGGGACAGCGCCGGGGACAGCGGGGACAGCGCCGGGGACAGCGGGGACAGCACGGGGGACAGCGGGCACCCGCTGCGGCACGCCGCCATGGACTGCATCGCCCGCGTGGCACGGGCGCGGCGCGGGGACAGCGGGGACATGGGGACAGAGCGGTGTCACCCTGGGGACACCAGGACAGCACCGTGTCACCCTGGGGACACGGGGACAGCGCGGTGTCACCCTCGGGACAGCAGGACACCACAGTGTCACCCTGGGGACAGCAGGACAGCACCGTGTCACCCTGGGGAGAGTGGGGACACGGGGACAGCGCCGTGTCACCCCAGGGACAGCAGGGATATGGCACGGTGTCACCCTGGGGACAGCAGGGACACGGGGACAGCGCCGTGTCACCCTGGGCAAAGTGACAGCGGGGACACGGGGACAGAGCGGTGTCACCCTGGGGACACCAGGACAGCGCCGTGTCACCCCAGGGACAGCAGGGACAGGGACAGCATGGGGACAGCGCCGTGTCACCCTGGGGACAGCAGGACACCACAGTGTCACCCTGGGGACATGGGGACAGCGCGGTGTCACCAAGAAACAAGGGACAGCATGGGGACAACGCGGTCTGGTCACAAAGGGCCAGGGGACACTGGGGACAGGGACAGTGAGGTCACGGGGACAGCGCGGTGTCACCGAGGGCACGGTGGCGTTGTCACCGGGCGCAGTGACGTCGCGGGGAGGGCGCGGCGCAGGGGACACCCCGGGGACAGCGGTGACACGGGAGGGGACGGCGGCAGCGGGGCCAAGGTGGCCAGGCTGGGGGGCGGTGACGTCATCACCAACCACGGTGACGTCACCGTGGGTGACACCAACCCCAGGGACGTCCCCACGGCCACCAACCGAAGCGGTGACATCCCGGGGGTGGCCGAGGGCCCCGGGGCCACCCCTGGTGACAGCAATGACGTCATCGCCAACCCCCGCATCGCTGACGTCACCATGGACTCTGATGCCACCTGCGATGTCCCCATGGACCTGGCGGGTCACGTGACCCCAGGAGCGACCCAGGACCCCGGTGCCACCCCAGGTGACGCCGATGACGTCATCACAGCCACCATCCCCATGGATCTGACGGGTCACGTGACCCCAGGAGCGACAAAGATCCCAGGTGACACCGATGACGTCACCACGGCCACCATCCCCATGGACCTGACGGGTCATGTGACCCCAGGAGTGACCAAGGACCCCGGTGCCACCTCTGGTGCCACCTTTGATGCCACCCGTGGTGACAGCGATGACGTCACCGTCCCTGCCGTCCCCCCGGGTTTCCTGTCCCCGGCTGGCGTCCCCAGGGACCTGACGGGTCTCGTCATCCCGGGGGCGGCCGAGGGCCCCGGTGCCACCCCTGCGGGTGACACGGGTGACGTCACGGGTGACGTCACGGGCGACGTCACGGGCGGGTACCTGCTGTCGGGCTGCGACGTGTTCGTGACGCGCGAGCCGTGCGCGCTCTGCGCCATGGCGCTGCTGCACGCGCGCGTGCGACGCGTGTTCTACGCGCGGCCGTGTCCCCAAGGGGCGCTGGGCACGCGCTGGGGGCTGCACGGGCACCCCAGACTCAACCACAGGTACCGGGTGTGGCTGCTCCCCTTAACTGGGCAAACTGGGAGCACTGGGAGTGATGGGAACACTGAGAGTCAGTGACTGGGGACACTGGGAATGGTGACAGGGACACTGGTGTGACACTGGTGTGACACTGGGCACGCGCTGGGGGCTGCACGGGCACCCCCGGCTCAACCACAGGTACTGGGTGTGGCTGCTGCCCCTGACTGGGCAAACTGGGAACACTGGGAGTGATGGGATGATGGGAATTGATCACTGGGATTGGTGACTGGGGACACTGGGGACACTGGTGTGACACTGGTGTGGCGGGCAGGTTTGGGGACACGAGGGGGTGACAGGAGGGTTTAGGGACAGGCGGGTGACAAGGGGACACCCGTGAGGGGCGATGGGTGGCTCTGGGGACACGCGGGTGACACTTCTGGGGCGCTGCAGGTGCAGCCCTACCAGGGCTTCTTCGGGGACGACACGGGGCTGAACGGGGTGCGGCTGCTCTGTGACACGGGGACGCACACGGTGACATCCAGCGAGGGGCCGTGAGTGACCGCGGGGACAGCGGGGGCCTGGGCTGGTGCCGGGGGGGGTCCCTGTCTCTGGTGGCACGGGGACACCCGCTGAGCTGGTGTTGGTGGCCACGGGTTCTGCAGGTGTGGTGACACGTCCCTCCACGGCCACCATGACCATTGTCACCCAGCCATGGCCACTGTCACCCAGCCATGGCCACTGTCACCCAGCCATGGCCACCATGACCCAACCATGGCCACCATGACCCAGCCATGGCCACTGTCACCCAGCCGTGGCCACTGTCACCCAGCCATGGCCACCATGACCCA